CATCATTAGGGAATATTCATCATAGGGAATTTGTACCCATATGTGGTGTATCTTGATTCCTCTTTTTGTTCCGATTCCCCTCCCCTCCTTTCAATCTCTTTCCCTCCTTATTTAAAAAGTTTATTTCCATTTTATCCTTTTTTTAAATCCTTTTTTTCTCATTTTTGTTTTGCTCCTTTCCTTCCCCTCCTTTACATAGTTCCCCTTTACACTTGAGTAATTTCTTCCTATTTCACAATGTTTATTATATATTTTTGGTTTTTATTTTATACTTTGAGTTTCTCACACCAGAGAGAAAATGATATTTACACGTTTGTTTGATTTATTTCACTAAAGAGTATAGTCTCAAGGTCCATGCACTTAGCTGTAAATGTCTCAAGTTTATCCTTCTTTATGGCTGAGTATTGTATTAAAAAAATCTGTTTTATCGATTCATCAGTTGATGGGCATTTGGGTTATTTCCAGGACTTAGGTAATACAACTGTGCTGTTGCAAACATATATCACTGTGGTATGATTCTCTTATTTCTTTTGGGAAAATGCCAAGAAGGGGAATAACTGGGTCGAATGAGACCTCTAGTTCTAGGTTTTGAGGAAACTCCACACTGATTTTCACAGTCTGCACTCCCACCAACAGTCAAGAAGGGTTTCTTTTTCCCACAGCCCCACCAGCATTTGGTGTTGGTTGATTTCTTGATAACAGCCATTGTTTCTGAAATGAGGTAGAATCTCAGTGTTGTTTTAATTTGCAGCCTTTGAATGACCAGCAATGTTGAACACTTTTTCATATATTTATTTCCCTGTTTCATATATTTTTCTTCATCGGAGCAATGTGTACTCACTTCAGATGCCCATTTTTAGGTTAGGCCTTTAAATTTGGGGGTCTGATTTTTCTCAATTCTTTGTATGTTCTAGATATTAGTCTTTTGTCTGAGGAACAACTAGCTGAATTTTTTCCCATTCTGTGAGATGTCTTTTCACTTTGCTGGTGATTTCTTTTGCTGTGCAAAAGCTTTGTATTAAGATGATACACCAGTTGTTGACTCTTTGTAATATTTCCTGTGTGACTGGGACTTTGTTCATGAAGTCTCTGCCTTCACCAGTGTCTTCAAGAGTTCTGTCTATTTTATCTCCCAGCAGATTTAGTGTTTTTGTTTTAATATTTAGATCTTTGATCCTTTTTGACTTTGATTTGGTGCATGGTGATAGACATGGTGTAGGTTTAATCTTTGGCATGCAGAAAGCTAGTTTTCCCAGTACCATTTATTACAGAAGCTTTCTTGCCTTGAAACTGTTTGTCCCTTTGTTAAACATAAGGTGGCCGAGTGTGTTGGAGTTGTGTCTGCATCTTCTAATCTGTTTGGGATGGTAGTCTTATACTTGCTTCTTGAAAGTAATGCTCCCTGCTCTGAGGCTTTCTTTTTCTTTCTTTTTTTTTTTTTAATTTTATTTTCGCACTTTCAAAGACTTCCTGTCTTTGTCTTTCAACAGTTTTTGTTCAGCTCAGAGTTTGTATTGTTTCTTGAATCTGTTGTATAATTTGAGGTCCTTAGTTTGTTTTGAAAAATCCATAGCCATCATCACCTCACACCGTGTTCCAGTGCATGTGCGGAAGCCCTTCCATCATATGCTCTAGGCCTTTGACTGTTTTATGACTTTTGATCCTTTTATCTCTTGTTTAGTGATGAGGATGTTTTCTGCTGACCTACCTCTCAGCTCAGTAACTTCTCAGCTTAGCTATGTCCAGTCTGTCCCTCAGTTCTCAATATATTTTTAAATATATATATATATATATATATATATATGTATATATATATATATGTATGTATATTATTTATTTATTTTTGAGCCAGAGTCTCACTATGCAGTTCAGGCTGGCCTTGGGTTCACTTTGTAAACCAGGTTGGTCTCAAACTCTCAACGATCCTCCTGCTTCAGCCTCTTCAGTGCTAGGGTTGCAGGCATGTGCCACCATGCCTGGCTATTATATATTGTTTAATTTAAAATTTGTATTAGTGCACATTTATAGCACATAATGATTATTTTCATTGTGGGGAGTTGTGCACGTATGTAACATCACAATTCTTCTACTTGTGCCCCTCCTTCCCTTCCTTCCACTTCTTGGCCCTCTTTCCATTTGCAAAGATATTACAATATTTAACTTTAGAATATTAATTCTTTAAATAACAGAGTCCTATTCTCTGGCAAAAATCTGCAATGTATAGTCTAGTTTTTAAGAACATTAATCATAGTTACTTAAAAACGTGAATCAGATAATTTCAGCATGGGGTGCCTGTTGGTTTACTCTCTAATTGTTCTGTTGGTCCTTGTTTTTGGGACACTTGGCATTTGTCAGTTAAATGGAAAAATTTCTCTATTATAAATAGCAGTAACAGAACACAAAGCTCCACCAAGGGCCAGCCCTTTTCTCTGGTACACAGTCAAAAAGTGCTCAGCACAATTAGAGATTGAAAAGACCTAAGGCTGACATGTGTGTCTTTGCCTGGCTTAGTCTTGAACCAGGACATTCCTCAGGCCCCTTCTCACTGGCGAGTCCTGAAGCAGAACTTCTGTTTCCCAGCGCTGTGAAGCCATCAAAACCTTGGCTCTCTTTTCCAGCTGCTGGCTTAGTATTCTGCCTGCGAAGACTAATAAACACCTCAGCAGAAACCCAGTGCCATGCACAAGGCTCCCCTCTCTGCTTTGTTCCTCCCCCGAATCTCAGGTTCTTGAGGTCTGGCAGCTCTGGCACCCACGCACTCCAACTTTCGTCTCTCACACTGAAGACTGTATGAAGCTCTGCTGGTGTGTCAGCCCCACCCAAAGGCTTCCCGATGGTCCAGTGGGAAACTTCACCTACAGAGCTGGACTTCCTCAGTGCGCGTTCCTTCTCTCTGGGATCTGCTGCCTCGAGGCCTGACAGCCTTCGAGGCTCTTCAATCTCTTAATAGAGGTTATCTTTCCTTTTAATTCATTTCTTCTTGCTTTTATTTTTTTTAATGGGGGCATTGACTTGCTAAGAAGTGACTCAATCATTGCTGGAAGTAAAACGTCTGCAAAGTTTTTAATTTATTTTTAATAGATTCAATTTTTAGAAAGCTTAGGTTCATGGAAAAATTGAACAGAAAGTAGAGAGTTGCAGCACAGTCTCTGCCCCATTCGCGTGCAACCGTCCCAGCACAGACATCTACCACTGTGGTCCTTTGTCACAACGGTGTATCCTCACTAGCACATCATTACCCCAAACTCACAACTTACGATAAAGTTGGCTGTTGATGCTGCAGATCCTGTGACAAACTGCACTTATTTTTAAATTAACTCTATTTAGAAAAACTTTGGATTGACATAAAAATTGTAAAGACAGCATTGTGAGTTCCCATCCCCATATCATCTACCCTCCCCTAATGTTACCATATCACCAAAGTATATTTATAAAAACATAAAGAAACAATATTGTTATATTACTGTTGACATTTTATTTGGAGTTTGCAGGTTGTTTTGCCTTATGTTCTTTATATGACTTAGTATCTAAAGTAGAATCCCACATTGCATTGAGTTGTTATACCTTACTTGGCTTTCTTGATCAGAGAGTTGCCTTTATGTACTGATTTTGATATTGATGTATGGGAGATTATTGAATTGTTTTATTTTTAACAAGAAAATACCACAAAGATAAATTTTCTTCGTAATCTCATCTCATCAGGAGGTACATGTTGTCAACACGTCTTTCAACTGGTGACATCAATCTTTAACACTTAACTCAGGTAGTATTTGAAAGTTGTCTCTGCTGTAAAGTTGTCTGTCCCTATTTCCACATCTCCCTCTTTTGAAACAAATCACAAAGTTCAATCCACTCTCAAGCAGAGGGAGGTGGAACTAAACTCTGTATTTTGGTGGAATGTAGCCACATCATCATTTCTTTCATTATTTATTTATTCATTTATATAATCATATTTGCATCAGTATGTTATGTAAGTATTTGATACTTCAAGTCACAATTCAGTATTATGCTGTTTTGTTTAATTTATTCAATTGTTGTTTAAATTGGTCTATCTTTGGCCACAGAGCACTCTTTCATCTCGGCTTCTGTGTCCTTTGAATGTGACTGCCCCTTTGTTTTTCTAGCATTTCCTTGCTTTTGTTTTTTTTTTTTTTTTTAAAACTGTATGTAGTACAGGGTCTACAGGGTCTCACTACACAGATTGGACTTGTAGTGATTCTCCTGTTTTCAGCTTCCCAAGCTCATGGAGACTGGGCACACGCCTCCATGCCCAGTCTTATTTGCCATCTCAGTGTGCCCCTGGGGCAGGGTTGGCATGGTACGGCATGCTGGGGATCAAGCCCTGATCCCTGCACCTGCCTAAGCAGGCGCTTTAGTCCACTGAGCTATCTGGTTGGCCCAACATTTCCTTGTTTTATTGATCCTACAAGATGTTTCAAGCTCATCATGTATTTTCTCTGTCCCCAAAGTCTGTTTCCTTTTGTTAGAGAATTTAGAAACCAATATTTGAGTGCCAGTAAGCTTGCTGCTACCGAGGTTATGTCATACATTTGTAATACATGTTTAGAATCCTTGGTCTACATTCTGCTGGGATTTCTTGACCTCTTGTTTGATATTTTAAAAAATTGCATATCTCTCATTCTTTGTGAGATACAGTTCTACACAGTTTGAAAAATACATAGAATGTGTAACAGCACCTTAGAAGATAACAAATTGCTCCACAACTCTCCTTTTTTTAAATAGTTGGTCATCCTGCCTTTTACCTTCTGGACACTCTTGATCTGTTTTCTGTACTAAGTTCTAACCCTGACATCTCTTCCTGCTTTTCAGACTTTGGACTGGGGAGATAAGTGGCATTGGGTTTCATTGTCAGCTTTGTAGGAATGAACAGGTAAAAAATCCCATTAACTAGATCATGAATTACCTATCTCATTCTTCATATATGTAGGCAGCACTTAGCATGAAGTGGGTACTCACGAAAATGATACCTCTCCTATTCAAAGTCCCGGCAAGGGCCCAGTGTATGATTGATCTATGACCACTTAAAATGTGCTTCTGGAAGGGCTGAGAGTTCCTAACTACTCTAATACTAGTAATTGAATATTGCTGCAGTAACTATTATCAGCTCTGCTATGGTAATTATTGCCCAGCCTCCAGGATTTTCCTCAAATCTGTGTGGCACACTTCATCCTCTGTGTCTTGTTGAAAATCAGGTTACTTCTATTAAAAAACAAACAAACAAACAAACAAACAAAAAACCCTGACTGTTTTGAACCTTTAGGTTATAATCTAGAAATGTTTTAAATCTAGAAGTGCTTTACCTCTTAACTTTTCATTTGTCTAATAGTGGCCAAAAAGAGCCTTGGGAAAGCCCTAGGTGGATTTTCTGCCAGTTGTGCAAAATATCAGGGCAGAACTTCTTGTCTGGAGAAGAAGAATATCCAAATTTTTGACAAGTCACATTCTGTGTGATCCATAGGAAGCAGTCTCCACTTCTTGTGGCTCCCGTGACAAAGGGTGGTCAGAAAGGATATGAGAGAACGGTCAGGCAAGGTCATAACCTTGGCCAGGGTGGACCTGTCAAGCCTGGGGGCTTAAATTCCTTTTAGAAACAACTATTAAGCTTAGCCTCTCAGTGCTGTGAGCTTTTCTCTTTACTTAGTTGTTTTCTATAATACTGGAAAAGAAGCAGAAAGGGTAATAGAAGAACTGAGATTCAAGATACAGGAGGATTCACCAGGAGAATTGGGTAATTTGCTTATAAATGTATCTATAGCCTCAGGGCCATGTCTACACAGCAAAGCCATGAAGTGGAAATTTGGCAAACATGCTCATTAATTATCTAATTTGGCTGTTTATTCCAATCAAGTTAATTGGTTAACTGCCAGATTTATATATTCCACTCTGAATTGCTCAGGGCCAGCAAAAGGGAAAGGGATTAAACCATGCATCTGATTTGTTTATACATAGCTGATGAAAATGTCTTTGTGGAATAAGCATTTGGCCATTAAGGTAGCTCACAATGAGACTTTCCCTATCTTTTCTTCCACAACAACAGAAGAAGCTTAGCTGGATTTCTGGCCCATTAACTCACTTAGACACTGAGATTAAGCCAATTTTCACTCTAGGTCCCTGATGTTGTGCAGCCATGGATTCATTATGATACAGTTCATAACAAGATTGAAAACTCTTGGAGAGAGGAGTCACATGTCCTTGACCTTAGAGTTGAAAATATGAAGGCCATATTGAATTCATTTTCAGGAGTCTTATATCTCTTTGTGGAAGGTTATGATGTACCCTTCCATAGGTGATTATTATTCACTCATTCTTCAAAACTGGTGATATGCCAGGTCTGTTCTAGGCATGGATGATATAAAGAAGAGTGATTATGCATCCTTGCCCAGAAGAGGTCCATGTTTGGTTACAGAAGGAGCTACAAATGGACAGTGTTCATATGGTATGATCAACATGATTACAGAGGCATGTATTTGAACACCAGTTGCTAATTGGTGAGGCAATAATTCTGCTTGGATGAATCAGAGAATGGTTGATTCATAGAGAGAGAAGTTGAAATGGATAGGTGGGACACAAATAAGATCTTTTCTCACTAATATAGGGGTAAGAGGTTGGCACAGAAAGGAGACCTAAACATGACAATCACACACGTTAAGATACATGAAGCAGTGAGTCCTTTAGGGGAGCTGATGGGTCCTCACTGTGCCTGGTAACTGGGATGCAGGGGGGAGGTTGGGAGATGACAGTGTAGGAGGTAGATAGAGTCTCATCAACAGTGTGAGAGGAGGCTTTGGAGCATTCCTTGGAGGGGAATTGCTTGCCATCTTTGAAAAGTCACTGCACCAGTCACAAGACAGGCAGGATCCCTAGGGACTGTTGTAGGGATGAATTCAAACCCCAGCCCACTCATTCTCTTTGTAGCCATGGAGAAGTCCTCAGATACTGAGCTTCAGGAAAATAGGACAATAATGTTTTCCTTGAGGTATTATTGAGAGATTTAGAAGCAATGTCTAGTACCCACAACAGTGTCTGGAACTTGTCATTATGACTCTGGTAAGAGGAGCATAAGGCAGTGGGGAGTAGAAGCCTTCTGAGTCGTCTCCTACTTTCTGACCCTAGCTTTGCCTCTGACTAGCAAGGTATCTTTTAATATAATTATTAATCTTCCTTCTGATTCTACATTATGATTGGTAAACATCCACAAAAAAACCTTCTGAGGACAGCCCGATGTCAACAGAGCAATCATGACACCGTGCATTATCAACTTCGCATCTGCACACAACCTCTTATAACTGTTTCTTCCAAATAAGGACAGTAGAGGAATTAAGCTGTCACCTATTATGATGCACAGCTGTCTTTGTGTAACCAATGACATGCAATCGCCTCCCCAGTAGAGGATGTACAACGCCTTTTCTTAGTCATATCTGGCCAAGGTTCATTTCCAGTTGAGTCTCTTTTTGAAAATACTAGTAATGACAGCAGTCCTCGATTCTTTAGTCACGTGTCATGGCTGGTATTTGTCACTTACTTTTTTTTCCACTCTGCAGCCTACATTTTCTTCATTCTTTTTTATTTATTTATATTTAAATTTTTTTATTTTAATAATTTTATTGAGAAAGAAGTAACAATGAGATAGTTTCAAAACAGGTTAGTAGCATAGTTACAATAATTAATACATTGCATATTATTGTCTTTGTAGTAGTTATTACTAGTATAAGATGCAGACATGATATCTTGTCTAAACATTATTAGTTCAAAACCTTCCTCTCACTGAATTAAGAGAAAGCTATATTGGATTAGTCCTCTGAATTTATGCACCTACAATGTATGAATGGCAATGGAATACACATCTCTGACAAAAGTAAACAAAAAAGGGGATATAAATGGACCATTTTGTAGTGGAGAAAATATACATGTACATGCAAAATAGCATAAATATACATTTTTAAATTTTTATCTATTATTTATTTATGTATTTATTTTGGTACAGGGTCTCCCTACACAGCTTGGACTCATAGTGATCCTCCTATCTCAGCCTCCCCAGTGCTGGGATTACAGGTGTTTACCACCATACCTGGTTTCAGTGGCCCACTCAGTGAAAGACTGGCATGGCATGCAGTACCAGGGATCAAACCCAGGTCTTCACACTTGCCAGGCAGGTGCTTAGACCTCCAAGCCATCTCCCCAGCCCTCTCGTCATTCTTAGTGACACCTCTGGTTGTCCTGCTTTCCTGCTTGGTGGTGCAACCAAATTACCATTCCTGCAATGGATGTGCCATTGGCAGTCCTTCCTGAACTAGGATGTTGGATTTTCCTCTTCACTTTCATCATAAGACATGGAAGCACTCAGAGGTGCCCTGGAGGGTCTCCACTGTTTCAGGCACACTCTCTTCTGTCCTCATTTGTAGCAGCAGAACCTTCAAAGGCTGTTCCTTCATTATACCAGACCACTGTATCAGTCAGGGACCAGAGCATCCCATGGGCATGAATCCACTGTTGCACTTCAAATGCTAAAGGTGAGCTCTTGTGCCACAAGCAATACCATGTGGAATTCTGTGGCACTAAATAAGGCACTCTGCATCTATAGATGCTGGCTTCAGAAGAAGCACTGAAGGAAGGAAAGGCAAATGCATATACTGATGAAGTGTCTACCTCAGTGAGACCAAAGCCCTGCTCCTGCCACAATGGAAGTGGCTGAACAAAACAAACATGCCATCGTGAGCTGACTGCATTGCCAAGGTGCTGACACGGGGCCACTCATTGTTGGTCTCTGCATCTGGCTGCCTGCACTTGGCAGGGATGGTGGGTGGATCAGCTTCGATCAGTGACGGCCTCCCGGGGTGCTGGGCCCATGCACAGTCTTCAGCCTGGTACCCTGTCCACTTTGCTCATGATGTCATTGGCGGGGACAGGTGAGTGGGCAACAATGAGGCTGTGTGGCACACACAGAAGGGGTCGCATTGCCTGTGAAGAGCACCTCAGATGGGTTTTCTTTCTTACCCTTGAATATCTGTATCTCCCATGTGCTGTCAGAGAGTCTGGACACACACTGCTTTCCCCTCCCTGTCACTGATGTCGCAGTGTTTCATCTAAGCGCCTGTTACTACCAAATTCTTTATTTCTCCCTGCCTTTTTAGATGAGTAACTTCTTTGGATCTGTCCACAAGTTCGTGGACTCTTTCCCAGATCATTTCGGATCTGCTCATAAGAACATCCAGTGACATTTGAACTTCAGGTACTGTGTCAGTTAGGCTCAGAATTTCTATGTGGCTTAATTTTACAGCTTCTATTTCTTTGCTAAGATTCCCTGTTTTCATTCATTGCAAGCATATGTGTTCTTTAAGTCAATGAAAATACTTCAAAAGCTGCTTTAAAATGCAAATTTGCTACTTACTCTTCATACATTGAGTAGTTTGAAAAATTGTATCCTGAAAGTTAGTTTATGTTGTGGAGTTCTGTGTTCTGTTATATTCTTTTACAGAGACTTTGCTTTGGGCGTTCTTCATTTTAGCATACAATTAACTTGGTTGAGCTCAAGCTGCCAACAACTTTAAGGCTCCCACCTCCTATCACTGGTCCTGGTGTAGGTCCTTTAACTGCACAATAATAACAGATTGAAGGTGGGTTTCTCCCTTACAGAACTGTAAGCTTCTCAAGGTAGCAAGTGGCCTTATTCATCATTGTGTCTTTTACATATAGCTGAGTAATGGCATACGTTGAATCTGTCCTAATGATCAGTGCATAAGTGAACAAACAAACCGTAAAACTCAGGAAATGTCTTCCAAACTAGAACTCTTTTATTAAAATCTGGAAGCCAGGAGAGAAAAGATGGGAGCCTCATATATACATCAGCATCCACCTTCCTATGCTTTAGAGTGATTTTCACTTTTTAATCTGCTAGAAAGAATTCCAGCTTCGGCCATGTTTAATCTTCAATATCTGTGGCGTCATATATTACTTCCTACGAAGTGCCCAGTGTAGCAGATTCTATTATAATAACTTTAATAGTAGTGGTAGTGATTCTCCAACTGTTACTTTAACCACATTTCCATAATGTGGAATTAATTCAAGAGGTATAAATTTGAATCACAATTTAATCCCACAGCACAAGGCTCCTTTATTTGTTCATTTGCTATGTACTTGAGGTGCTGCAGGTGCTAGGTTCCAAAGATATAAAAATTAATCAACAGGGTTCCTGTTCTCAAAGAGTGAGAGAAACACAGGGGTTAGTTATTTAACCACTTAGTTAAAACTACTTTGTGCTGCAAACTTTGCTGGCACCCAGGGCCACAGCAATGAGGAGATGGAAACGTTACTGCCCTTAACAAACTCAGAGTTTCCCTGGAAAACAGTACCTCTAAGAGTTTGTTTCTACATCATAGTTATCCAAGATTATTCTTTAATTTTCTTTTTTAAATTTCTTTTGAGTCAGACTACACAGCATGTATTGCTAATTTGTATTTTACTTAAGTTTCATTTCAAAGATTTAGATGGCTGAAAACAGGAGGATCACATGAGTCTGATCTGTGTAGTGAGACCCTACAGACCTTGTACGAAATACATAAAAAATTTAGAAGGAAATTTAAAAGGAGAGGTTATGTTATAGATTGGATATGCTACTCATGCTTTTCAAATTCATGTTAAAATAAATACATAATTATTAAAATTCAAAGTGACTAAAAGTAAAATATTAAGCATTATATGTCTCACTCTGATAACACCATGTTAAACATTTTAAGTGCTATCAAAGAGATATTTATCAATGCAACGAACATGATGGCAATGTAAAAAGAGTTATTAACTTTGCCCATGCTTATCAAAGGGCTTTGCAGAAGTGTCTCCTGGGAAGAAGTGATAGTGCTTCCTTGTTATAGTCTGTATCTATATGTCTGCTGAAAGCCTCACGTGCTTAGAAATGTAGAGTTCTTGGTTTTTCCCATGTACTGCAGCACTTATTTCTCCTTACACAATACCATGTTGCTGGGGCCTGATGTTCTCACAGTAGAAAACCAAAATTTGTCATCTTAAAGAGGTGAGTGCAAAAAAAAAAAAAACCTTACATAAATTAAAAGAATGAATAAATTCACAGGTGTAAATGTAGACTATTTTCAACTGAAGGCAAGTAAACCACCACCGGGATTCAGGCAGGAAAGCGATGATGATGGATGGAAACAGGGCCGTAAGGCTCGGACTGTCCACTCTGTTAGACCAGGAAAAAGACCAGAGTCACAACTGGTTCACCAAGTCTTGCCAGCCCGAGAAATCCTGGAACAGTTAGCTCCGACTCGATGCCCTGCACAGCTCTGTGCTGCAGCCACCCAGATTGCCAAGGCATGGATTTCTCCTCAGGGGTGCTCAACTCAACCACCAAGTGACTGAACCACATTGACTAAGGGGACAGATCAAAGATATGGATAGGGTATAAAACAGACCAAAAACCAGTTAACTGGAATACAAGGTCAAACTCAGCAACAAGTTTTACAGTTCAGTGCTAATAACGGGTACAAGCTTCAAGGACAAATTTCTTTCAAAGGCTTATTCCAAGGGGCAGGGAGATGGCTCAGTAGAATAACTGCTTGCCTGGCAAGCGCAAGGGCCTGAGTTCAATCCATGGTTCTGCCAAAAACAAACAAATGAACAACAACAAAAAAGGCTTATTCCAGTATCATGAGGCTAACATGAGGTTTGTACATTTGCCAGGGTAAATTATAATTCAGAACCAGCTCATACAGTAGGTGCCTGGCACCCACTCAGTCCATTTCAGTGAGGTCAGGATTGAGCCACCAACCTACATGGAGTACTTGTGTTCAGGAGGGGCAATGATCTTGATCGTCATGGTGCTGGGTGCCAAGGCTGTGCTCTCCTTCTGTATCCTGTCAGCAATGCCTGGTACATGGAGGTGCCACCAGCCAGCACTGTGCTGGCATATAGGTCCTTGTGAATGTCCACATCACACTTCATGATAGAGTTGAAGGCAATTTCATGGATGCGACAGGATTCCATACCAGGGAAAGAGGGCTGGAAAAGCGCCTCCAGACACCAGAAGCACTGCTTGCCAATGGTAATCACTTGGCCATCAGGCAGCTCCTAGCTTTTCTCCAAAGAGGAAGAAGAAGTAGCTGTGGCCACCTCCTGCTCAAAGTCCAGGGCGACAACTTCTCTTTAATGTCACAATCTCCCTTTCAGCAGTGGTGGTGAAGCTGTAGACATGCTCTGTTAGGACCTTCATGAGATAGTCTGTCAGGTCCCTGCCAACCAGGTCCAGATGCAGGATGGTGTGGGGGAGGGCATAGCCCTCATAGATGGGCACTGTGTGGGTAACCCCATTGTCAGAATCCACATCAACACCAGTGGTGCGCCTAGAGGAATACAGGAACAGCATGGCCAGGATAGTCATGTACATGGCCAGGTGTTGAAGTTCTCAAATACAGTCTGAGTCATTTTCTCTCTGTTAGCCTTCAGGTTCAAGGAGACTTCTATCAGCAGCACTGGGTGCTCTTTGGGGGCCACACACAGCTTGTTGTAGAAGGTGTGGTGCCAGATCTTCTCCATGTCATCCCAGTTGGTGACAATACCATGCTCAATAGGTTACTTCAGGGTGAGGATGCCATGCTTGCTCTGGGCCTCATGGCCCATGTAGGA